TGATACTGGTGCACCTCCTAAATCTGCATACCAGGCTAAGAGCGGTTTTTGCCAAAGCACCCAGGCCTAAGTTGTGCCCCTTACACTGCCATCCCAGAACACTCTGTCTGCACACTTATGAGCAATTGCTTTCTCTTTACAAAAGAAAGAAAGTGTTTCCTTCTGGGGGATTTTCTGGGTGTTTCTTTCCAGACCAACTCTGGCAGCTTAGGGAAAATGCGTACTGCTTTCTTTCTCACTAACCATCTCATTTATCAGGATATTTACATTTCCTATACACAAGCAAAGTTTTATTCATTCGCTGTACGCAAATTCCAGGAAATCCAGCTAGAAATTATTAATATTATTTCTCTGTGAGGAGGAACAATGGTGATCAAGAGGAAGATATTTTTATCTCATACTTTACTGTTTTTTATGGATCTTTTAAATGTTTTACTGTTTAATAAAAGTAAAACAAGAGTTAGGAACATGATAATTTTTAGAAATGAGAACAGACAGAGAACAATGATTCTTTAATCTTTGTCATGCACTGTTATTAAGACACTGCTTAGAACCGCCCAAAACGTAGTTTATTTAACACATTGGTGTTTATTAATGAATGTATATATCTTCAGAATTAATTTATTTATAATGAAAGCCTTGATAGTTGCACTTATGAATTCAATGGGCAAAGTTGGGCTGTAAAAGACAGTGTACTACATAAATATTTCAAGTTGCGGTACTAATAGGAATACAGTTCGTGGAGGTTTTCTGTGCAACTCTTTTGGTCTTTTCCAAGTATAGCAATTAAATCCTCTGTAAACAATACCCCTGCGTAGGATATTAACTAGAGGAAAGGCTCCATAAGTTGGAACTCTTTCAGTTGTAAGGGATAAAAATTTGAGTTAAATTGGTTTAAGCACATAAAGAATTTTTTGGCTCTTATAACAGAAAAGTCAAGAAACAGAAGTTCAGAATTGGCTTGGTCCAGCAATGTCAAATAGACCTAATATTTTTCCAAATGAATTCTCTGGCCTAGTAAGCCTGCAGTAACAACAATGTACAACTCCAGACACGTACTTACCCAGGTTCAAGTTCATCAGAAAAAAGCTGAGCTTCTTCCTCAACCTTGCTACTTTAATTGGTCACACGCCAATTCCTGAACCAAACTGCTGTAGCCAAAAATGGGATCAAGCGACTGGCATGACCATGCTTGGGCCAATGGTAGAGTCAACTCCACCATCAGTTCACGAGGAGAAGGGTTGGTCCCTTGGGGGAATAGCAGGAAATGTGTAACAGAAGAAAAGACACTGATGTAAAAAGAAAAGGTTCTCATTGTACAAGCAAAGGAGTTTAACCAAAAGAGGGTGGGCTGTCTAGACTCTCAGATGAATGGTCTTTTGCAGGGTGTATGAGAAGCAGCATAAAAGGAAGAAGCTTGGGACACCCTGAGACTGTAAGATGATGATGATGGTTATACTCACTGTTCTCTTATGCACTGGTTGCTCATTAGATTCACTTCAATCTCAGTGGCTTTTTTGGAGTCCAAATCTGCGAGAAAGCACTTATAATTTTTTTATTTTTAGAATTCTTTTTGTTTCTAACTTCTTTATTTTTTAATGTAAGCATTTGATTTTTTTTTCTTCTGCTCAATCTTCTATGTTTGTAAAACCTTGGGAGAAAAATCTTGGAAATGCCATAAAATATGGAAAAATCATTCAAACATATTACCTAAAGATTTTCATTGTTGGCATCTTGGTTTATTTCATTTCTTCTCTTGTTTTATTTTGCATTGGCTATCACAGGAATAGCTCTGAAGGGTTAATGAAATGGTGGCAGTTTAGAGCTAGGAGCTTGGTATCTAGATGAAAGGATTCAGATTCAAAATGCTTTGAGGGCATTTAATATATGAAAACAAACCTTGAAAGACAACCGCATTTTCTCTTGTTGTGTTCTGGCCTGAAGGCAAGACATTATTCTTTCTCATGATCGGAAAGGTTATTTCAGTGATATTGGCTTAAATCAAAGAGTCAGGTCAATCTGTCATATGTCTCTGGGTTTTCCAATCAACAGGATTTACTATATTACTAATCACAGTTTTATGTCATTTTACCCACTGTAGCGGGCCCAAATAGGGAGCCTAGGAGAATATACAGAGTGTCATACATTTTTAATACACTCAGTATCAGGTCTTCCACAGAGATCTTCTCCATTGATATTGATCTAGTCTGATATATTAAATCATTTTTAGGAAAAGTAAAGCAAGGCAGACTGTTGCTTTTACTTTCCTGTGTTGTCTTTCCTCCCTTGCATTGGAGACCATATTTAATGACAAATTGCCTAAGAATGGACCTCTCAGTATATGGCCTTAGTCTCTTGTGACCCAAGTTCCATGTACTTATGAAGGCCATGGGTCCCTTTATTTGCAGAACAAGATCCATCTTCTCAGGCCAGGCATGGTGTACTCCCAACATTCAGGAAGTTGAGACAAGAAGATCACTGTAAGTTCAAGACCAGCCTGGGCCATATAGTGAGTTTGTGGCCAGCCTGAACTACATAGTGAGATCCTGTCTCAAAAACAAGTCAAGACTTTAAAGTCTGGATCACTACTTTAAGTACTGACTGACCACTTAAATAGATGCTATAAATCATGAATATTCACATTCAGCTGCAGCAAAGTTCCCTGGATGCTTTTGGTACCCTCAGTATTTCCACTTTATTCTTTTTATATTTTTTATTTTTTTATTTTAAAAAATAAAAGAAGGAAAACATAGTAACAGACAGACATCCATTTACAAAATAACATAAGAACAATACAAACAAAGCAGAGTTACAGAGAAAGTTGTAGGAAATTAATCCTGGTTGTTGTATTACTTATTGATATCTTCAGAGTTTTCCACTTTATTCTTGCCCCTTGGTCTTTATGGCCACCTGCTTGAATGCTTTTCCTTTCCTGTTTGTTTTTCAGAATTTCAGCAATTTCCTCCTAATATTCAGAATGTTAAGTTGGAAGGGCCCAAGAGAGCACCGAATCCTAGAAGTTTTAAGCTATTAACATTCATTTTCTTTCTTCTTCAAACTTCTCAGTATATGGCTTCCCCATCACGCCCTTGGCCAGTCTGTGAAGTTCAAAGTCACCTTACACAGTTGCTGTAAGGTGCTCTTGCTTGAGCCTGCATGATGACATTATCAGAAGAAATTTAGCACAAGAAACACCTCTATTTCAAGCAGCTGGCCGGGCCAGTGATCATATCATCCTCCATTCTCTCTCCCCTTTTCACCCAAACCCCAAACCAATTTCTGTTCATTGGAAATCCCAAATGCCTTATGCACCCAGGATGGAGAAGCCAAGAAAACCACAGAAACCACTGCAAAAACACCCGCGGGTGTTTTCTTCCCGATTTCTTTGTTATACGAGAAAAAATAACCCCAGGTTTAACCATCCATCATTCAGACTTCCTCTGAGTTGTGGCTGAAAGCAGTCCTAACTGACATAGTGCCCTTCAAGTTTTCTAACTTGTACAATAACCTCTGCTTATACACCACGCTTCTTCTAATTTATTATTTAACTATCAATCTCCTCAGCTATTATGGTAACTTTAGTACGTATTTATCTTGGTCACCACTGTACCTCCCAAACCCAGCAGAGGGCCAGGAACCTCACAAATGATGAACACATATTTATTGAACAGGTGTGTGACTTCTCCTAAGCCCTACCTTCACAGTAGCCCCAAGTCCTCAGCATAATAAAGTCAAATTAAGTGAAGCAAAGCGTGAGTTGACTCAGAACTTTTGGTATATGTGGTGTTACTGTTCCAGGGAGTGACAGAAGCATTTATAAACTCTCTTTTATTCAGGCTTTATGTTGTAACTCAGGTGTCACTTTCTCAGGTACCCCAGACTTCTCATTTCTTTAGGTTTGGGAATATAAATGCAAAACAAGTGGTCTAGATAAGTGTAGTGGGATAAATTAAGCATGACGATGCCTGCCTATAATCACAGCACTTTGGGAGTCTGAGGCAGGAAGGTCACAAGTTCAAGGCTATCCTTGACAACTTAGCAAGTCAGTGAGATCCTGTCTGTAATAAGTACATACATACAAATACATACATATATATATACACACACACACACACACACACACACACACATATATATATATATATATATATATATATATATATATATGCCAAAAAAAAAAAAAGCCTGGGGATATAGCTCAGTGCAAAGTCCTAGGGTTCAACTCTTGGTATTGCAAACAAACAACAAACAAACAAAAAATACTTTAAGTTGTATTCTTTCAACAACGACACTGTAGTCACACTAAAAAGTATTAATGGAACTATTAATCAGTTGCACAAATGTCTCCTGATCTTAATCAGTTACACAAATGTCTCCTGAGACAAGCTACATCCTTGATGATCCTTCATTTCTTTCTCATTTACAGAAGTTACATGGGTACAATGACAATGGTCTCTATTGTAAGCAAGCATGAGTGGCCTAAGCTCTGCGCTGGCCATAACACTTGGCTTCAGTATCAGGGCCACAATGTAAAGGGTGATTATGGAAGTTGGTGTTGAAGCCTCTTATTCAGGGTTTTGTCCACTACTCAATATCAGCTGGAAGCATAGGTCCAATTTTACCAGATCTAATGTTTCAGAGAAGGTGAAAATCTAGATGCTTATGGGAAATCTCTTCATTTTAAAGTTTGTGTCAAGTAAAATTTACAAACAGTATACAGCTGTGTCCAACAGAGTGGCATTTTAAATCTGACCTAGACTCATGAACTTGCAATTTCCATCCCCAGGAATCCAACTCTACCAGCTGATCCTTGTTAACACTGCCCAACAGATTGGATGGATAGGCACATGGATGTACAAAGCACTGGTCTTTCTTCTGGTTTCTTTTGCCTGAAATCTATCATTCAGATAGGGGCCAAAGTGACTTTTATAAAATGCAAATTGGATCATGGGATTCCTACTATAGCACCTGCTTGTGATTTTTCCTTTATTTCCTTCCAGTTAAAGTACAGGTCGAGCATTCTTAAACTGGAAATCTGAAATCTTAGATGTTCCAAAATCCAAAGCTTTTGAGAACCAATGTGATGCCGCAGATGGAAAATTGTACATCTACCTTCATGTTATGTGTCACAGTGAAAGCACGGGCACTTTCAAAGTGCTGTACAAAAGTACTTTCAGAAGCATATGGAACGTAAGTTAATTTTCTGTTTTAATTTGGGTCTCCTCCCCGGTATATCTCATTATATATGTGAACACATTTCAAAATCTGATATCTGAAACACTTCTGGTCTCAAGAATTTCAGTTAAGGGATATTCAACTCGTGCAAACCTACTGGCATGGCATTGCCTCACTCTATCCTCTACACGTCCCTTGCTCCCGGCACATAGCTCATTCCCACTCCTTTAGAGAGTGGAGTCTGTCCTCATTTTGTTTGTGCAGTTCCCTTGGGATAGAATGCCTTCCTGTTCATCCCTGCAGTGTTGAATCATGCTTATCCTACAAATTCCACATTGGATGTAAGCTCCACTATGAAACCTTTGCAGATGTGTGGAACAATTAATGGCTCCCTCTTCTGATGGCTCTTTTAGACCACCAATATAGCACGGGCTCTGGTCTCATGCAGATATATTTTTAACCATCTGTTTCTTAAGCTACATTATGAGACAAAGGTAGGAACTGGGCTTTCTTCTCTCCTTGGGTAATCTGTTGTATCATACTGCTTTTTTAACTTAATTTTTCATGGGTCTGCGAATGCTTCAATTAAGTTGGAAACTCTAGAGATTATATGACTCATAAGATGTCATATTCTGCTGTACTTAAAGTATATGTTTCAATGATCACATCAATATCAGTACCCTTTGGAAAAGGGTGAAGATATTATATAAGACCAACAATGTGCTCTATGTTCTTTTAACTAAACTGACCCGAAAGACCATTAAATTAAGCTTATTATCCCGGATTGAGGAAAAGTTTGGTAGGATTTTAAAAGAATAAAACCAGAATTTTGGGTTCAGTCAGCAAAGTTTCTTATATTTAAATACAAGAAGCAGCAGTTCCTTTTTTAAATCAGCCCATCCCTGTTAAAAAGACTTGTTTTATGAGTGTCTAAAAGTTTGTTGGCCTTCATGCTTAAGCAGATAAAGTTTTGTCTTTGTTTGTACTATTCATTTATGGAACAGTGAATATGTTGTGCTATCTTCTACTCACATCTAGAACAAAGGCAAATATCATTGGAATGTGATTGCTGCATCGATTATTATTAAACACTGGAGAATTTTATGACTATCTGTGAGACGCCTGTTGAACTGTCCCGTGATAGACTATACAGTGGATGCATTCTTAAAGTGGTTTGTGATGTCTAGGATTTAGGATTGCAGGCTTGCAAGAAACAGAAAGTGCTATCCATGTTTTATTAGCTTATCAGGATCAAAGAGTTTGATTTTCATAATTCTGGAAAATTCTGGCTGTAGATTATTTACATGTATTTTTTCCTGGTTTTATGAGAAAATTACTTGACTTTCTAGGTAAAATGAATATCTCATTGCTTCCTTTATTTGAGCACCACAAGGAGAAAGGCGTCTCCAGCCACAACTGTGTCCACCTGAGTCCTGGCTTTCTTCCTTTCTGTTTTGTACTCCGTGGGATAAACAATACCAGCAAGGTGGATTTCTGTACTCTTTTAACAGGCACAGTTGCATTCCAGGCTATCACTGAGTTTCAATTCAAGGCAAGTGGAAGGTAAAATTCAGAGTATTAATGAGAACTATATTTTTTCTTCCTTGGTGGCTATTAAAATGATAGATGTCAATGCAGTGGGCTAGGGGCAACCCATTCAAGACCTTGAATGTTATCAGGCAGTGTTAAATCTCACGCATGCACATGCCATTATACATGAGCTCAGTGTAGCCAAGCTGAGGCTGTGGCCGCTCCCCTGTCCTGTCTGTCACTGGGCTGTCAAATCCCAAGCAAACAAAGCAGATTCTCTTATTATTGATTCAGAGATGGACAGCAAGAAAAAACTGGGGCCTTATTTTGGTGGATGCAATTTTTGATTTGGGTTCAAGCTGGGTTGAAGGGCAGGAATCAGGTGGCAAAGCAAATTATCCCATGCTGAATGCCAGCCTAAAAGGTGAGGTGCAGAGGCAAAGCCTTGTTTACCCAAATGGTCTTGATCTCTAAATCTTACATTTCTGCCAACTGTTCCTATGTTCACTGACAGTTTTAAGGGCTGCTGTCCTATTAGGCAGTGGTCAGATCTGGTGTTTGAAATTAGAGTGTGAGGGGAAAAAAAAAAGCAAACAGTATGAGAGGCAGAGTGAGTAGAGAGAAAAGAACCCAGGTGGCCCGTTAATATGGCGTTCATAGTCATCCATGCATTCATTCATTCATTTGCCCTGTCGGCCTTTAGTGCACGTTTGCTACATGCCAAATGCTGTGCTAAGTGTGGGGCGTGTTGGTGGCTGTCCCCAAGGCCGCACTCAGATTTAGTGATTCACTAGAAGAAGTCAGGACTCAGAAAAGCTGTTATATTCATGTGAATCATAAAGTATGTTATGGGTTATTATAATGAAAGAGTAAAGTTTAAAACCAGCAAGGGATAGAACAGAAAAGACACAGTCCAGGGAAGATCATCTCAAGCTGCCAGTTCTCCTGTCAGGGGCTTAATCTCCCAGCAGTGGTGCATAAAACATATGTGAAGTGTTTCCAGCCGTAGAGGTTGAGCCAAGATTTGTGTCCAGGGTTTTCTTTGGGGGCCAGACATGTAGGTATGGGGCACCCATATGACTCACCTTAGATACTCCGTCTCTAGCCCCCATGCCTCAGAGGTGAGCTTGAATCAGTGAGGGCCAGGGTGCAGACAAACCAAAACAGGCATTTTCCATAAATCACACTGGTAGCATAAACTGGCTGGCATGGCCTGAGACACCAGGTGCACAAAGATGCACTTGTCAAGTGGGACGTTCCAGGGGCTGGCCTCCCAGGGGCTGGTCAAGACCAATCCATCCTTTGCAATATGCAAGGCTGAACTAAGCAAACCTGCTGAGTTAACCTTTACTGCATACTGTGGTTGGGGCTCTTTTTCCCAAGAACCTGGAAGTCTGATTATACAAATAAAGGCATATAATACAACACCACCATCTCTGTATTCTGACACTAAGACTTAGCTTTATTTCTCCTTGTAACTACATGTACTGTCTCCCTAGGCCTGTCCTAGACACTGGAGCTAAAGTAGTGTTTTAATCCACTCCCTGTTTTCATGGAGTTCTCACTGTACCTAGGGGAGGAAGACACTAAAAAATATTCAGAAACATATAATACATGAGATACTATGAAGTGAGTAAAGTAAGGGGATAGAGAGAGGTGGAAAATGAAGCTTTGTGTTTTAGGTGAGTAAATGAGGGCCGAGGTCACAGAGAAGCTGCTATTTGAGCAGAAACTTGCAGGAAGTAAAGAAAGAGCCAAATGGACATCTTGGGGAAGGGTGATCCCGCAGAGGATCAGGTGGGACGAAGGCCAGGAGGCAGGGACTTGCTTGGTACTCACAGCAGAATGAAGCACTAGTGAGTCTGAGGCAGAGGGCGAGGGGAGTGAGGAAAGGATGGGACCAGCTGAACTGGGGCTTTGGAAGGTGTGCAGAACACGGGTAGCATAGTCTGCATTATGTTTTCAAAGGCTCTGTCTGGTTGCTGTGAGGGGAAGAGGTTTTGGAGGGCAAGGCTGTAAGTGAGGAGCTGAGGTGGGGAGCTCAGGCAGGCACAGTGGTGAGCCGCGGTGGAGGTGTAGGCAGCAGCTGGGTGAGTAGAATGAGTCGTGCCTGCTTTAACCTCTCTGAGATAGGCTGCGTCACACCCACCTCCAATGGGATAGCTATGGAGTCTGGGGGGAGGGGGGGGAGGAGCGAAGGATGACCTCGCTAAGACAGGTAGTTTCTCAGTCTGAATTGCCCCTGTCTCTTTAATTTTCAAAATATTTGCTTGACACATCAGCTTGAAGCACTCAAAGATCTAACGTAAGTAATGCTTATGACAGAAGTGTTTTGTGGTTGCTACCGTTTCTTTTACTTTCTGAGATACTATGTGGCATATGAATTAATATTCCCAATGTATAGATAGCAAATTATATCAGAGATGTAGGTCTAAGTATTAACACAATTTGGCAGGTATAATTGGTTTATCCTTAATTCTTACTTTTCATGTATGGCATTTTTATTCTATTAAATGCTGTATCTTTAGAATGCGATAGAAACCTGCAATAGCTTAATCGTTGCAGGGATTTCTGGTGTTATAGAACCACAGTCTCAGCGATTCAGCTATCTTGTGGCCTGAATATTTTTTGCCACATCCTCCCCAAAATCTTCACCTCCAATGTCACAAGGGGTGGGGCCCCCATGGGTTGGATTAGTGCCCTATAGAAGAAGACCCCTTGGTTTCTTTGCTATGTGAGGACATAGCTGGAAGGTGCTGCCCATCACCAGAAAGCAGGCTCTCATTAGACAGAGAATCTATTGGCACCTTGACTTGAACTTATCAGCCTGTAGAAGAGTGAACAATAAATTTGCTTTGTTTATAAGCCACCCAATCTATGGCATGATGCTATCAGCATCGTAAAAGGACTAAGCAGGCATTTAGGTCACTACCACAGGTGGTAAGAGAGCAGGGCTGTGATTTGAGCTAGATTGGTTTTACTTATTTATTTATTTAGTCTATTTAAGACAGAGTTTCACTATGCAGTTCAGGCTGGTCTTGAGCTCACTTTGCAGCCTAGGCTGTTCTCGAACTTGCAGTGATCCTCTTGCCTCAGCCTCCCGAGTGTTGTGATTACAGGCATGCGCCACCAGCCTGGCTTCTTTTATTCATTTGTATAATTACTTCTCTTGATATTACAAACCATGATTTAAATGATAAATTTTAGCTTATGTAAAATGTTTTGGTACTTAATACCATTAGAAGTGTCGTGAAACTCCTTGTTCACTTTTATTGAATTGAATTCTGTGACTGGATATAACGTGATACCCACACTGTGCCAGGCTTGTGGTATGCTTTGGCCAGCTACTCATTTTCCAAGCTGAGATATCTCCCCTCTTCTCCCTTTTATACTAGGCAGACACAATTTCAGGTTGTCTGGTTTAAAAGCAATTATACCTCTAGAGAATCTTGTTGCCTCTGATTTCTAAATGCTGGTTGTTTATAGAATTACTGCTCAGATCCCTTTAGTTCGAAATGAACATGCCAATGAACCGAAATGAGAATCTGCACTTCTAAATTGGATTATCGGCTTCCCTAGTGTACCAGTTTGCACCACTTCTCCCTCCACAAAGTTGCCAGAGATTCTCAGCAGTTTAGTTTTATGGCTTATGTTGGATGGTTGGGACAAGGTGCATCCAGTTAACTTATTAGTTATGCTCTGTCTTGGGATGGCTGTTGCCACAGTAACAGACCAACAGACCTTTCCAACCTGTTTAAATTGGATCTGCTTCTTTTTGAACTGTATTGAGAGCAGGGTGAGATCCAAGTATCAGTTCTAAATTAGTATGCACCAAGGCAAAAGTGTAAACAATGAATGCATAACCAGGAATATTCCCTTGCTTCTTTCTCTCTAGCTTTCCGCTTGGAAAACTCTCTTCTACTTTCCTTGGAAAATGGAGTTGAAATCAATAGGGCTATTTTGATGCGATAGAAATTCATACAGCTTGTTTTCACTGCTCAGTATTTTCTGTTTGGCACTGGCATAATTGACTAATGTCGACCGAGTTGGTGGCTGGGTCAGCATTTATCAGCTAACTGCTACTTCGGAGTTGGGCAGAGGAGGAAGCACGATACAGTGTCTCCATCAAGAGTATGAGGGTGGGTTAACCCCTCTCCCACGACTGAGTGGGTTTTAGAAGAATTCACTGATCTTTGAGAACTCATTATAACTTTCAGGTAAGTCAGATTTAAGTCTGATTTCAATCAAGTCGCCTTTTCATTTCTAGAAAAGGATTTGAGTGAAAGAGTTGTTAAGGGAGCATTTTAAAAAATACATCTCCAATGTACTTGTAATTAAATACAAATTAAAACAGTGCATTCTCAGAATTTTGAAAATAAAAAACAAAACAAAACAAGTAATTGTGGAAAGACAGTGCAGCCTGGTGCCAGAGTTGAAAAGGTCAAACAAAGGGATAGATACACGGTTCAGGAGCTGGACTGCTGGACCCTTGGAGGATTAGGGGAAGGGTGCTGATGGTCCACATGCGCCCTTAGCATCATCTTGATGGGCACATGCTCTTTAGGGAGTAAAGTGTCTTCTTTGTTAAGGCAAACAAACACTGCAATGCATTTGCAGCTGTTAACCGGGAATAAAAGGGATAGATGGGAAGATGGAGTGCAATATATTTAGTCAGCTGGTTTGGGACTGCTTTAATTTACAAGACACTGTGTACTAAACCCCAATCACCCTGCAGACACAGTAGAAAGTGTTTTCATTTCTTAGGAGAGTCTTCAAAGATAGAGGCTGCAGTTAAGGGATCTATGCTCATGAGCAAGCTTAGACCAAGTGTGAGTCAGCCCAGCTCTGCCTACTAGCTCAGCTCCACCTCCACACAGGATGAAGCCTGGGCTGCACATTAGAGTTCCTGGAACGGCCCTCAAAATCTTACATCTCAAATTAATCAAGTTTCTGATTTTTTT